GAGCTCCGGGAGGAGGTGGCGCTCGCCTAGGCTCCGGGACACAGGGCCGGAACGCCTCCTAGTCTCGGCTTCCCCGGGGATCGGGAGGGCTCAATCGGGGAGCGGCAGCCCCCAAGAGGCAGCGGGGGTACGGCTAGGGCCGGTCCCCGGTTGCTCCAGATCCCCAGGGCTGGGTTCGCACGTGCCTACTCAGGCCTGAGCAGCAAGCGCCGGAGAACAGCACGGGAGCACCCAGCGTTGTCCAGCTGGGTCAGGCTCGCCGCTACTCTCCTTAGGGGCCTAGCGTTTCGGATCCCCAGGCTGAGGTCGGGCTTTAAAGAGGCCATCTGTTGTCTTCTTCCCAGGAGTGACTCTTCCCTGAGCCCAGCAAACAGAGGGCAAGGGGAGCAGCGTTCTGGGCCTGGCTGCGCTGCCCTAGGGCAAACTCCCGGTCCTGACCCCCTTGACCTTTTTTGCCTTAGGGCGCTCCCTGGTGCCCAGGGCTTGTTCCCCAGCCCAGCACTGAACACAAACGGAAACTCACTCTGCTCCGCTCCGAGGCGGGAGCAGAGCCAAAGGGCCTGCACAGACTCCTGGCCCTGTAGGTTCTTACCTTTTGGCTCCGTTAGGTCCCAGATCTGTTATTCTAGCTTTGGCTCACCAAACACTGCTTCCGGATGGCGGTATCAGGTGATTCTAGGCTCTGTCTGTCCCGCCCAAAGAACTGGTTGGGACAACTGTTGAACAGGTAAACACAACTTTTTCTTTAGTAAAGGTAGCAAAAGGGGGAAGTGAAGAAAAGAGAAAAAAAGAGAGAGAGAAAAGAGTGAAGAAAACGAAGAACAAGAAGAGATTCGTCCCGCAAGCAGGATGAGCTACTGCGGAAAGGAAGATCTCAGTGGCGGGAAGTCGATGGCTGCAGTCTTTTATAAGCCTTCAGATCCCGTCAGTCAGAAGTTGCTCTGCCCAGGTATCAGTGGCTTGAATGACAGGTTGTATCTTGTTTAGCCTCTGTTCCGGATATTTGTTAGTTGACAGGTTACACCCTGTCTTCCAGCCACCCTGCCATGCCCTAATCTTATGCCTCAGTACTGAGGTTAAGGGAGAAGGGTCAGATCGGGCATTGAAGAGGAAGATAATTCCTATGGCACCCTAACCTTTCCTCTCAGAGAGCATCTTGATCCAGGTGTGATGGTTCATGGCTGTAATCCCAGCGCTTGGGAGGCTGAGGCATTGTTTTTCTTCTTTATGAACTAATGTTCATGGGTTTTTGTTTTTATTGGTACCAGAGATTGAACTCCGGCCTTTGCACTTGAGAGGCAGGCGCCAGAACCACTGAGCTAAATCCCTGGCCCTGTTCATAGGGGTTTTTTTTTGGGGGGGTGTCCTTTTTTCTGTTTATTTCGTTTTATTTTCTTAACTTATAATGATCTTTGCATAGTACCAAATTAATTAAAGTTGGTAGTCACAGATCAATCCTCTTAGTGCAAAGCACTGTGCCAAGTGCTATATATATATATATATATATTTTTTTTTTTATTTACCTTGTCAACAGTTTATCTCAACAACTTTATGATGTAGGATTATTATGCCCTTTTCTAGGCAGGAAACAGTGCAAAAAGAATTAAGTAACTTGTCCCAAGGGACATAGTAAGTGATGAAGCTAGGATTTGGAAGATAGTCTGCCAGCTCCAAAACCTGCTGACTTGTTAACAAAAACTTTATTTCCTCTGCAGTAACCCTTCTGTGTGTCATGCCAGTTGCAAATGTTTTCCCAGTCTGTTCTTTGCCCTTTAATTTCATGTATCTTATTTCCTTAGTGTAGAAGATTATATATACTTTTATCAACTCAGATAGTTTTCTTTATGAAAACTATATACACAGGAGGCAATATAAGAAACTCATGTTTGTAGCAGCACAGTTTGTAATAGCTAAAGCTTGGTAACAGCCCAATTGCCCATCAACTGGAGAATGGATAAAGAAAATGTGGATTTTTTTTATAAAATGGAGTACTGCTCAGCCGTAAAGAATGAGAAATTAGAGTCATTTATAGCTAAATGGATGCACATTGAGGACACACTCAAGTGAAATAAATAGGGCACACGTGTAAATACAAAATAATTTCTCTGGTATGAGAAACTGAAAGTAAATAAGGATTAAAATTAATAATTTAAAATGTGAAATAGGAAGAAAATGTCCAATGGAGTAGGAGAA